GCACTGTTATTTGCCTTGGATGATGCTCCGGGCACCCCAACCACTCCCCGTCTGCCTCCACACCTCACTCCGTTATTGGGTCTTGTCAGTTCTATCCCTTTTCATGTTTATGGTCCAGTCTCAGGCCCTGCCCCACCCCTGCACACACTGCTTCAGCCTTCCGTCTTACCTGCCTTCAGTTCACACTCCACACACTGTCAGGTGATCTTTCTAAAAAGCAGATCTGAGCCTGTTGCCCCCTGCTCAGAGCTCTCCAGTGCTCCCCGCTGTTCTTGAGAGTTTTAGTTCCTGGGCAGGCTTTTGAGGTTTCTCTTACCTCACTATGCCTGCTTTTCCAGCCTCCCTGCTGGTCCTGCCCTCCTCATAGCCTATCTTCAATCTGTGTATTACCTGCTGCTTCTTACCCCACTGCCTTTTGCTGCTTGGAATAGTGGGTCTGCCTGAGGAGGAACAATCAGCTTTCCCGAAAGCCTTTCTAGACCCCCGCCCCCCCAACTCAAGGTTCCAGTGCGCCCTGTACAGGCTCTCCATGGCATTGCCCAGCTGTGTGGCACCTGTTTTTACCACCTCCTTATCCTGGCTCAGCTGTAAGCCTGCTGAGAGCCTAGACTTGTAGACTTGTTTGAATCCCCAGAATCCAGCCCAGGAGCTCTGCCACTCCCCAGCTGTTTGACCTCAGGCCAGTCATTTAACCTCTCTGTTTCCCTCCTCTGTAAAACAGGTAGACAAACTTACCTGGTCCACAGGTTAACAAAGCTTAGAAGGGAGCCCGGCTATAGTACGTGCTCATTGAATGCAGTGGTTAGAGGCGCTCGGTAAATGTCAGACAGAATTTGTGGAATGTTCTCATGGCCAGGGCAGCTGCCCCCTGGACCCTTCCTCCCCCGACCTCCCCAACCCCATCACGTGCTTCCCAGAAGCCAGCGTCTGACTCGCCGGGCCACCTTTCCTCCGCTTTGGTTTCCTAGTGCCGAAGGCGGAAGCGATGGACGAAAGGCTGGGCTCCCTCGTGGATGAGTTTAAGGAGCTTGTCTACCCACCAGACTACAACCCCGAGGGGAAAGTTCCCAAGCGGAAACAAGGTGAGAACTGGGTGACCGGTTTGGCTCAGTGGATAGAGCGTCAGCCTGTGGACTGAAGGGTTCCAGGTTCGATTCCGGTCAAGGGCATGTACGTTGGTTGCGGGCACATCCCCAGTAGGGAGTGTGCAGGAGGCAGCTGATGGATGTTTCTCTCTCATCGATGTTTCTAACTATCCTCTCTGTAAAAACAAAACAAAACAAAAAAACAATATATTAAAAAAAAAATTCAATGAGGGAGCCCAGCCAGTGTAAGTGGTTGAGCATCGTCCTGTGAACCAGTAGGTCATGGTTTGATTCTTGGTCAGGGAACATGCTCGGGTTGTGGGCTCTGTCCCCATTAGAGGGCATGAAGGAAGCAGCTGGTCAATGATTCTCTCTCATCATTGATGATGCTCTCCTACCATCTCCCAAATCAATAAAAATATATTTTAAAAAATCAGTGGGGGGAAAATATAAAATAAATATATAAAAAGTAAAAAACAAAAAAGGCTATAGAGTGCTTCACTGGATAGATGTGCTAGTTTACTCAGCCAGCCCTTTACTGATGGATGTGGTGCAGTGAACATGGACCGCCATCGTGTACGTGTGTGAGCAGATCTGTAGGATAAATTCTTTCCTCTGTATTGCTGGTTCAGGGTGTAAACATTTCAAATATTGATAAGAATTGCCAATTTGCCTCTGAAAAGTGATAGTTTATATTCTGTCCAAGAAGAAATGGGTGTGTTTCCCTACACTCTCACCAATCCTGGACTTTATATACTATTTTTTAAAAATTTCACACAAAAATAAGAGGGGAAATTATATCTAGTTTTGATGTGCAGTTCTCCCATTAGGAGTGAAATGTAGTTTTCTTGGATTTTTTAGGGTAGGTGTGGCAGTGGTGCTTCATAGTGCCGTGGGAATACAGCTCTTCCTGTTCCATGGGAATATGCACTAGTGATTTGTGTACTCGTTTATCCCGCTCAGCCTGCACATTCTTCTCACCTAGCACGGTCCCTTGGTACTTACTTTATGCTCTGGAAAGGCTTTTGGAAGGAGAGGGAAGGAATGAATGACTGCTCATTTAGAGTGAGACTAGTTTTGGGTAAACTGATGGCACTCAGAGAACTCTTAACACCCTCCTAGGTTGATAGTCTTTATTTTATGCATAAACGAAGCTGCCTTGTCAAGACACTATCTCCCCAGTGTTCTAAGTGGGCATCATGGCTTATGGAAAATGCCTGCCTGCAGTCCAGATCATGTGAGGGTCCTGTGTGTGTGGTTGGGATGCCACGGGTAGCATTCCCAATCACCCCCTCCTGACCTTTCCCCCAGGTGATGAAGGTGCTGGAAGCAAAAGGCCCAAGATGGAGCTATCGGAAGAAGAACTGAAGGCCCATGCCAGCAAGGGCACGCTGGGTAAGCTCACGGTGCCCGTGCTGAAGGAAGCCTGCAGGGTGTACGGGCTGAAGGGCGGGCTGAGGAAGCAGGAGCTGCTGGATGCGCTCGCCAAGCACTTTCAGAAGGACTGACCCTCCATCCGCCACCCTTCACCCTGTGCCAGGCTGCCTGCCAGAAGCCAGAACTTGACATTTATGGGACTTTCTGTTGCTAAGGAGGCAAAGTAGTCCTCCTACTTGCTGTGCCTTATTCTGTCTGAATAGAGCCCTAATTTTGTACTGTTTTTTAGTGTGAAAAAAACGTGTGTCTCGGCATCCAAAGATCACTTGCTATTACAATAGCTATTAGTTAATTTTCTCACAGCGTCACAATGGGAACAAAGTGAACACCAGTGAAGGTAGGGACACTGTGATGATTGAGGACAGATGAAGGTTTCAGGAATGACAAGCCCCAGCAAGAACCTGTCCTCGTCTCTTTTCCTTAATTGTGTTATACTAGGACCTAAAGGCCAGATTTCAGAAGCAATAAGAATGGAACGTTTCGATACTGTTACCCTTTGCTTCCTGGATAAATGGCACTCCCCCAGCTCCCATGCTGTATTCCTTTTAATGTGACATTCACGTATATGAACATAGTTTTTGTTGCTCCAAGAATTTGGGTTCCAGTGTAAGTAAATCAGTTCTTATTTTTCAGGGGAGCTGTAGTAAGGTTAAGATGAGAGTATTAGGAGGGGAAAGGTAGAGGGTGTCTTTCTTTCCCTCCCTCACCCCGAATCCCTCCTCCATCCATCCTGCTTTCTATTGCTTTTGAAAGATTAGCTTGAGAGAAGGAAGAAAAACATCTGGAAGAATTTATCCTCTGATGATGGTTTGAGATTCAGTTTGTAGGGCCTGTGTCTTTCATGATTAGAATGAGCCTCGGTGAGTGTAGGAGGGGTCAGATTACTCTCGAGGTTTTGGGTTTTACGTTTTTTGCTCTGAGCTTTATAACATCAATTTGGGATTTAAGGTCATGGGAATGTATGTTTAGTCTTTAGCCATACTACAAATGAATCATCTTTTTCACAAGGTCCTCATTGTAAATGTAAAAAGACTCCTTAATCATAGGTCCTCTTCAGAAATTGGTTTTAGGAAACTTATTCTAAAACAGAATTCCTGACCAGTGTTCATCAGGGCCCCCAAGACCTAGGGAAAGCCATTGGATCCTCTCTCCAGAATAAAATAAACGGTAGAGGCAAAAATGTTCACCTGCTTCCTAGGGGGCTGGATGGGAAGGACAAAAGTCCTTGCTTTCTGTCTGGGCGTTAGGAACTGTTCGCTGTGCACACGGAGCTGCTGCAGGTGCTAAGTTCTGGCTCTGCTGAGGGCAGTAACCAGAAGACAATCTGCTAGTAGTTAAGGACAAATTAAACAGAAGGTGACAGTGCTGAGGAAAGGCCTAAAGAAGTGACATTTGAATGACCAGCACGAGAAGAAAGCCATCAGTGCTGCAAAGGAGCACCAAGTAGAAAGAATTTGAGGAGGCGGCTAGGGAGTGCTCCAGAAATCAAACATGAAGCACTGAGCAGGCAGAACTGGGTGAGGCAGACACAGAGGCCATTAGGAGCAGGAAGGAGCCACGGCTCTTTCAGGTGACCACACATTGACACCCGCCCTTTGAAGGCCTACAGGGAGCTGATACAATGGAGACCAGGCACCAGGAATGAAGATCCCAGGAGCCCCTGCCCCACCCACTTCTTAGGGCTCTAATGGGTAAGCCTTAGTTCCTTGCAGGTGGAGGTTGGATTTCTTAGTTCCCTTTGCCCCCAAATTATTTCAGTCCTTTAGAGTATGACTTTAAAGACACATGACAAAAAAGTATAAGAAAGCAACTAGCTCAAACTTCACCATCCACAAACAGGAAAGTGCTGGGGGCAGTGTGTATATAAACACAAGCAGGCTGGGGAGGAGGGGGAGGGACTGGCCAGCAGGCACACAACAGGTGGTTTCCAGGTTTGCCAGGTATGCCGCTTACTGGAGTGGGTACACTGCCCATGCTGGCCAAGAGGAAACCAAATACAATCTCATTACTCTGACCATTACAGGACTGTTATTTGTACTTTGTAAGAAAATGTCTCAAGCTGAGGTGGCAGGCTCTCAGGACACTTCCCCTCTGAGCAGGCGCCGTGGCAGTGATTTCAGTCACCAATCCCAATCCCCCCTCTCAAGAGCTAGTAGGAGCCCTAATTTTGCAAAAGTGATTCTCAGCCGAGAGTGACTGCCACCAGGGAACATTTGGCAGTGTCTGGAGGGAGGGATTGATTACCATTGACATGTAGTGGGTAAAGGCCAGGGATGCTGCTAAAAATCCTACAACTTACAGGCAGCCTCTATCACAAGGATTATCCAGCACCAAATTTTGAACTACCAGAAATCAGCTGGTAGGTAGTGATGGCTTTTGCCCAGCTTCTTGGTGGGAAGTTTGAGCAGCTAAAACCATACTAATAATCCTAAGCAGTTCTTCATTCAAGCTGGATACCTACCAAGAATGACACTTTCCTTTAAGTTGTATGAATATATTTCTTTACTAGGACTCTCATAAGAATGACATTAGCATTGTCCTTCGGATGTGGTCAGGAACACAGTACTTTGACCCGCATCGTGGCAGGACAGGAAATGGGTAAAGGCTGACACAAGTGTCCACTGAAGAGATCGATTCACCAGAAAGGATGTTTCCTTGGACTCCATCACTTGTTGTGGCTTCCAGGTCTCCACGGCTTGCCCAGAATCCTCCATTCCAGCACCAGTTGACTCTACTTTGTCTTGCCTCTCCAGACTCCTTTCTAGGTCAGCTGCTCCATGTCTCACTAGCCCAGGCCAGTTTTGGAATCCTGCAGCACACAGCTCTTTGGTATGCTGCTGGCCTGCCACCCTCAGGGGCACAATTGGGAGGTTGTTTTTTTGGGGGGAAGGAAATGGACATATATTACCAAAAGCAAAACTGTAGGGGTACATTAACAAATGACACTTGGGCATACAACTAACAACCTCACAAGATACATGCTTCTTCCCCAAACGATGCATAATCCCTTACAGAGCAAAGGAGCCCCTAGATCATGATGGAATGATTCTGTATGCCAGGCACCAGGGAGACCAAGTGGGTGGTGTCTACTTCACCATGCCCTGTACACAAAAGGGAGTTAGCGCCTCAAAGCTGGAACCAGATCTCTACCCTGGCTCTTTCCTGCCTTTGAATGGTGGCACCACTCTGCTTCCACCTGTTCTGGGCTTAGTTCAATTTTCAAAAGGGAGGAAAGATGGGGAAGGAAAAGTAGAAGTGGAGGTTTAGGGCAGGGGTGGGTGGGTATGGGGATGATAATCTATAAGACAAAACAAAAATAATCCAAAAATATAAAAAGATTTACTACAATAATATTTTAAACAATAGAAGGTAGCTGGAATCCTACATGGCACACAGACAATAGGACACACAACCCGAGGGGAGGAGCAAGAGAGGGTGGCAGAGGCCGTGGGTTAGACGAGGAGCCTTTCAATGGACTGCTGAATGGACTGGATCTGCTGCTTCAGCTGGGAGCCCTCTTTGATGGTGACGGAGCAGGCGATGACAGGCCTGGAGACCCCGCAGGCCCGGCCCAGAGCCTGCTTGGAGCGCACAAACACGTAGGGCACGTTCTTGTCCTCGCACAGCAGCGGAAGGTGCAGGATGATCTCCAGGGGCTCTGCGTCCGCCGCCATCACAATGAACTCCGAGATGCCTCTGTTCAGGGTTTTGGTGGCTGTGGAGAGAGGACACGAGGCCAGAGGTGATGTGGGCTTTGGGCGGAAGCCACAACAAAGCAATCTCCAAGGGAAAGAAACACAGATGCAAGAAAACTGGGCAGAACTCTCACGCATAAGCAAGTCTCTGTCCTGTCTATAGTGGCCTTGGTAAGTGATAAGGGATTGAACTGCCAATTGGTTATCCTCAATGCCTTCCTCAAACCCATCAGTTCTGTCACAGCACATCCTGAATCAGTCCACTGCTTTCCTGTCCTCTGGACCACGTGTCCACGTCACCTCCATCTCCTGCCTGGTTGGCTGGAACAGCTTTCACACAAGCCCGCCAGCATGAAGCAGAGTATGCAGCACATCTCAAACTCTGTGATCTGACAGTTTTACCATCTCAGCCTGCCACCATCAGTACTTCTGGCAAGCTCACATGCAACTCACCCAGGAAGCACATCACCAACGGCACCGTTCACATGCTTATTCCTGGTTGTGTATCTCTGTGGCCCAATGCTAGCACGCGGACCACACTGCATTAATGAAGACAAGGCTCTAGGCCACACCACCCAAATTCAAATTCTGGCTCTCATTTCTCAGAAGAAGGTAAATGTGACAAAACATTAACAACCGCTGGGTCTAAAAACAATTCTAAGTCCATTAACCTTTAGTGTCTAATGTAAAAGCGCTGTTCTCAGGTCCTCCCACTGGTCCCAATAGGAGTACCCGCCCTCTTTCCATACTGGAAACGTAGACCAGGACTCCTGACAGAGACAGGTGCCTTCAACACCTCCCGGAACACTCTGCCTCACCCTCATTGGCTCCTTTCCGAAGCTGCTTGTAGTTACAGGACTGCTGGACGAGGTCCAATAGCTTTTTGGTGAGGTGGGCATCGGCGAGAGGGTAGGCCTTCGGATTTACATCAGCCTCGGTCTATGGGGTGAAATCAAAGCATCAGTGAAATGAACCTGAAGTTGTTCCAGACAAGTCACAAAATAACTGACAACAGACACAAAGGTCAGCTTCCACGCTTCCTTACCCCAAACACACTTAATAAATGACACTAGTGCCACACTCCCAACTTAGAAAAACCGAATTAGGATTTAAACAAAAAGTTAACAATTACATAATCCAAAAATGTATACTAAAGGTCACACTTTTTTTTTTTTAAAGTAGAGAAATCCACTTTTAAAAATATATTTTATTGATTTTTTACAGAGAGGAAGATAGAGGGATAGAGAGTTAGAAACATCGATGAGATAATCATCGATCAGCTGCCTCTTGCACACTGGGGATGTGCCCGCAACCAAGGTATATGCCCTTGACAGGAATCGAACCTGGTACCTTTCAGTCCGCAGACCGACACTATCCACTTAGCCAAACCGGTTTTGGCAAGGTCAAATACTTTTAAACTTGCCTCTCTTTAGCTTAATGCTCGGTAATACACAGCAAATAGATTATAAATGGGCTCCCATGGCTCAGTTTCACTGAGTCACATGGGGTAATGTTGAAATTTAGATTTTTGCACTCCATACTATATTAAGTTTTCTGAATCTAAATTAAGGTATAATTGCCCACCCAGTGTGGCTCATTGGATTAAGTGTCATCTCATGCATGCAGAAGTCACTGGTCTGATTCCCAGGTTGAAGGCTTGATCCCTAATAGGGGTGTGCAGAAGGCAGCAGATGGATGATTTTCTCATCACGGATGTTTCCACTGCCCTCTCCCTTCCTCTCTGAAATCAATAAAAAATATATTTTAAAAAAGACTTTGATTCTAATACTAGATACTTAATATTAAGCAATTATTAATTTTTGAAGTGTTACAGTGGCACTGCCATTGTTAAATCTTTCTTTTGTAGATATACACTGTAATACAAATGGGTAAAATGATAGATGCTTGGAACATGCTTCAAAATAACCCCTCCAGGGAACCACCTTGGGTGGGTTCTAACCTACTCCATTCCTCTCACCTCATTCCCACCTGACCAGTTTAACCATTTCCATTGATTTCTCATTTGTTTTCTGTGATTCTCTTTATAAATATATTTACATTATAGATATAATCCAAATGCAGTGCCACATCACTGTCTCAGGCATCCAGCTGCCTGCCATTGGCAGTCTGGTCCAACCCTGGGTCTGGGGACTGAACCTGGCGGTGCCCTCTGGGTGATGGCCTGGTGGGAACACTCACAGCTGCATGTCTTGGTGATCTTTTGATGACCCACCCCTGGAAGGAGCAGGAAGTGATATCAAGGGCCAGATTTTACTAGACCCCCTAGTCCTTAACACATGACCCCTGGGTGATGAGCAATTAGGTGAGGGCTGAAAGCCTTACCTGAAGAAGTGGGTAAGAAAGTCCTAATTATCTGTCTGCTCTTCCCCATACAATTTAAAATTAGCTTTTCAAGGTCCACAAAAAAGCCTGCTGGGACAATCTACTATGTTTGGAGTGATACATCTTTTTTCTTTTGGTGCCTACCTGAGAAAGGATATTTGTCAAAACCTAATTCTCAACAACAAGCATCACCTCTAAACAATAAAGGACCCAAAACATTTTAATTCCAATCTCTCCTCAAACTTACTTTTTAAAATGTCAGGTATTTCCATTGTGATTTCCAACAATCCATTTCTGGAAGTATTCTCAACTCTCAACAAACACCAACGGCAAAAAAGGGGAGCCTGACCACCTATCTATCTAAGAGAAATCATCTTATCTGTCAACAATAACAGCTCAGCTCACCGTTAAAACCAATCTACCTTGTTATCAATAGCAACAGAAATTTCTTAGTGTACTTATACATTTCTCCAAAAAAATAAATAAATAATCCTCACCGGAGCACATGCTTAGAGAGAGGAAAGGGGGTAGAGACACCGATGGGTTGTTTTCTGTCCGTGCACCGACAGGGGGTCGAACCCGAAACCTTTCGGTGCACAGGACGACGCTCAACCAACTGGGCCACTCAGGCCGGACACCGTCTTTTCATTTTTTAAAGGACTAGCTACACAAGTGATGGGATCAGACTACTAGCTGGCTTCTACCCCTAGCTCCACCAGTTTGGCCTCCTGTACACCAGCCAGCCCCAAACCGGAACGCACGTGTGCCTCCGGGACCTCTGACTTGGGCGACCACAGCTTTACTGACTGTTCCCCCAGCCAGGCCCGGGAACCCTCCCCATTCCCCGCCCCGAACGCCACAGGCCCCCTAGGTCCCGGCACGTGGAACTCCGGGGAGCCCGGGGCGCAGACCCTCCCTGGAACATCAGCCCTGGGGGGTGGGGGGAGGGGATCTGAATCCAGGGAGCCCACACCGTCCTCCCTAGAGACCTCTAATCGCCCCAATAAAAACGATGGCGCCAAGTGTTCTCATCCAACTTTCCGCTCTCCCACGTGGGCTGGTCCCTTTCTCCCCGGTCGGACCGTGCCCGCTCCGCTCACCAGAGGCCCGGGCGGCGCGCACACGGCTGCACCCCGATCACAACAGTCGGGGCTCCAGGCTTTCGGGGCTCTGACCTCGGCAGGGCTGTAGGGACCGCACGGCGGCCCGGGTTCAGACTCGGGGCCGGGCGGCCAGGCTGCGCCCCTACCAGCCTCCCGGTCCCTCCCGGCCGGGCGGCCGAAGCCCCGCACGTTCCCAGCCCCGCACGTTCTCAGCCCCGCAGGGTGGTGAGGGAGCCGAGCCCCGGGCCGCGGCCTCCCGGCCCTCCTCCCGCGCACGCACTCACCATGGCTGCGGGCCCGCGCTCCCCTCTTCCTAAGACGCGCAGTCGACGTGCGTCAGAGACGGGGCGCTCCGCTCCGCCGCAAAGCCCCACGGAAGTAGGGGAAATGGCCGCGCGGGCGGCAGGAAGCGGAAGTGATGTCACTGATGTGGGCGGGCCTCGCCCGTTAAAGAGCCAGGGAAAAAGGGTGCGTGGAATGGCCTCAGTCCTGGGCTTGGGGTCTCTTTATTGTGTTTTTTGGGTTGTTGTTGTTTTGTTTTTTTTTAACCATCATTTTACATTACAGGGAAAACCAAGTTAAACCTTAAAAAAAAGGTACAGCAAAACAAAGAGTTTCAATGGTGACATTATTCCATTGCCGGCTTATGTTTCAGCACATTCTTGTGTTTAAAATCACCTTTTTGCCTCATCACTGGAGAAGGAAAGGTACGGGGATAATAATGATCCTATATGTTTTCCTTCATATTCAGATATCCGTGTTAAGATTTCTGAAAGGGCGTGGAATCCACCAGAAATTGAATCAATTGAGTAGGGAATTCGGGAAGGAGCAGGTTTGGGGGTGGGGGTTGAGATTCTGTCAGGTTGAGTTTGGAGATGTCCTGGGACAGCCATTTTCTTCTGCCCAGCATCCTGTTCTTTTCTCTATGCTTCTCCGACTCTCCATTACTTATGGCTAGACTCATGCCTCCCCACTTCCAGTAGGTCCTGTCTGATTCTTATGGCCCTTACTCATCTCTCTCCAACACAATGTCAGGCATATCTTAGGACCAATAAGGACTAGTTCCAGTTAATTCCTTTGGAAACCTAGAAGTAGAGGACTGGCAGGACCCTTAGGAACCATACAGCCCAGCCCCTTCATTTTACAGACACTGAGGCCCAGAGAGGGGGTGCTGCTTACCCACCATCACAGAGCGAGGCAGTGGCAGGGCCAGCACTGGACCCTGGCATATTTAGCTATTAACCTGCGTTAGTTTCACTAAATCTAATTGCCCTGCTTGAGACGAGTTGTGGCATTGGACAACAGATGGGTTTGAACGAGCTCCAGGACTGAGCAATATTACAACAAAAATCTCTCCAGCTAACTTCACCTCATGCAAATCATAAATGACTTGTCTCCAGAATAAGAAATGTCTATTGATGGCTCTTCTTTACCAGCAGAACCTGTGATGTGGACTCTGCTCTTCACCTCTCTTGGGTCCTGTTTCTTGTTATTATATTAATTGGAGCTATCACCCACCACTGCTGGGGGAATGAAACCTTGTTATTCCAGTTTAATAGATGTGTTCTTATCATTTTCCTTTTTATGTCTTTTATAACAATTTCTACTTGTTATTTGGCCTACCTGATATCTTGGGTCATCATATTCCAGATCTGATAGGGACTTGATGTTTTCATGACCAAGAATAATGAGATCGTACATTTTACCTAATTAATCCCAACTATATGATTACTCAATTTCCATGTTCTCTCAGAACTAGCCCACCCTTTTGTATCTTGCTGTTTCCCACACCAGTAAGTTAATAAATGTTGACATATGATTAGGATCAACTTGCCTTAGGGGAATTTGTCTGTTACCACACTTTTGTCCTTAAAAACCTAAGTCCTTGCCATGGCTTATTAGACCCCTCTTCAGTACTCTGCCTCATCTGCATGATATAGCCCCACCCACCTTCATTTTTTTCCTTTATTTTTAAACAATATTTTAAAATTGATTTCAGAGTGGGAAGGAGAGGGAGAGAGAGAGAGAGATAGAGATAGAAACACCAATGAGAGAGAATCATTAATCAGTTGCCTCCTACATGCCCCTCACTGGGGATTGAGCCTGCAACCTGGGCATGTGCCCCGACCAGAAATTGAACAGTGACACCCTGGTTCATAGGTTGATGCTCACTACTGTGCCTCACCTTCATTTTCTACCCTGAGCACAACCCATATCTCCAAGCCCTCTCATCACCCTCTGTTGGGAGTGATGTGCTCCACAGTTCTGAGTAGCTAAGTCCTATTCACCATCTCTTCTTTGTGCTTCACGTCTAGAGCCCTGGAAGGGAGAGTCCATTTGGCCAAAGTTGGGTCACTCCTCCACTCCTTGGCTGTCTTAGCTCTGTGAGAGAGTGCCAGTATAAACTGGGGTGACATCAGCCAGGATACGGTGAGTGGCATATTTGGTTTGTAAAATAGAGAAACTCTTCCCAGATGGTTTGGTAAATAGATGATATCGCTCTCCCCAAGACCCCACAGGCCACTTACAACCCAGGTGTTAAAGAGTTAAGGCCTGGCCTGTTTTGATTGATATCCCTGTCTGCTCTGTTATTTAATATTTTGAATATAATTTTTAGGTGAGAGACAGTAGCATTTATTCACGATAGTACAATATTTATTCTCCCATCAACACTGATCTTGAGATGGGAAAGGTAACTTTGGGTAGTGAAACAAAAATATGTATGTTGAATTCAGTGTTCATTAAGTGTTTGATATCGGATAGACATGGACAAATGTATAAAAGTGTCTAACAGGAAGAAAGAAATAAGCAGACTATAGGTTACATCACCCATTATCCATCATCCTTGGGGGAATTTATCTCCTCACTTCAAAGGACAAGTTCTTCTTCCTCTTCATTCCTGTGGGCAGTTCCCCCATGTTGCCCTTACCTGCACTGAACTCAGTCATGTTGGGCAGCTCGGGTGCCAGGCTCAGCAGCTGGAGCTGAGGCTGGAGCTGACCTGGAGCATCAGGCTCCTTTGTGAGGTGTCCTCAGTGACAGAGGTGCTGTGAGGCAGGGGTCACCCCGCCCCACCCTGGCTGGGATAGCCATACCAGTCCCGCCCTTCAGCTCCCTAATGCCACCTGCCTGACCTAAGCCTTTTCATGTTGTTGCCACTGCTGGGCACCTGTGCGGTGGTGGGGTCAGTCCAGGGCCCCGAGGGAGAGCCAGGGAGGGGCCTGCTCTCCGAGGACCAGAGCCGCAGGGACCCTCGGTGATGCGGCAACCTGCTTGCCCTCTGCCTCTTTGTGATCTAGCAGGTCCGGCACCATTGGCACCAGATCATCAGGACCCCCCCAGCATGAGGAATGTCATCAAGGTGAGGGGCCCCACATCCCTTCTTCCCTCAGCACCATGACTGTTTCAGTCCTTTGTCACCAAGACCCTGTCCTATGGCTTGTGTACAGAGACGGATCACGCTGGCGAACTGGGCCTGGTCAGGGAGCACGTCATCCTGCCACAACCCAGTGAGCTTCCTGGGCTCCTCTCTTCCTCACGCCACATAGTCAGTCCATCCACAGGTCCCACGGGCTCTGCTGCACCCCACATCTCAGATCTGATCACTTCCCCACCACTTCTCTCAGCCACAGGCAGTGCTCCACACAGCCAGCAGAATAGGATGAACTTCTTTCTCTTCTTCAAGAACAATAAATCTAAGGAAAATGAGCACTATAAGTGTATGTAGGTCAATGGGTGTTCACAAACTGAACACATCCATGTGCAGCACCGAGGTTAAGAAATGGCCCTAATGGGTTTGGCTCTGTGGATAGAGCATCAGCCTGTGGACCCAAGGGACCTAGGTTCGATTCCAGTCAAGGGCATGTGCCTTGGTTGCAAGCACATGCCCAGCAGGGAGTGGGCAGGCTGCAGCTGATCGATGTTTCTCTCTCATCGATGTTTCTAGCTCTCTACCTCTCTCTCTTTCTCTCAGTAAAAAATCAACTATATATATATATTAAAGAAATGGACCACTACCAGTAGCCCAGAAGCTTGCAGTCACAAGTGTGCTTATTTCAAATAGCACAGACTGTTAAGGAATCGTACAATAAGTTCTCTTTGGCACCCTGTTTATGCCTAACATTATGCTTAGGTGCCAGAACGAACTTTTTGCAAACAGATCATAGCACTTTGCCGCTCAAAACCCAGTAATGGCTCTTAAGGGTACACTCCCCATCAAAAGCAGGATAAAATCCAAACTCCTCACCCCAACTCTGAGGGCAGCATGATCTGTCCCTCCATTTCCCTCTGACACCATCTCCCAGCCTTGTCCTCGTTACTCATCCCATTCTGGCCACAGGGCTTCCTTGCTGTTCTTGTGTCCATGACCTTGTTCTGTCTTCAGGGCCTTGGCACTAGTATCGCCTGTGCCTGCGATGCTTTTTCTTCAGATGCTACTTGTGTGCTTCTCACTTCACTTAGGTCTCTAGTCAAAGGCCGCCACCTCTGAGAGATCTTCTGTGACCATCTCCCTCTAATGGAGCTAACCCGACTCCCTTGATGCTTTGTTTCCATCAGGACACTTTTCTGTAGCTAACATCACGCCGTACACTTGGCTATTGTCTCTCCATGGCTAGAGGACAGCTCCCAGCGGGGACTTTGCTTCGTTCATGCGGGTACCCCCACCATCTATTCTAGAAGACTGCCTGGCCTTGAGTAAAAGTAATAAAGGGGCCGAAACCGGTTTGGCTCAATGGATGGAGCATCAGCCTGAGGACTGAAAGGTCCCGGGTTCGATTCCGGTCAAGGGCATGTACCTTGGTTGCCGGCACATCCCCAGTGGGGGGTGTGCAAGAGGCAGCTGATCGATGTCTCTCTCTCATCGATGTTTCTAACTCTATCTCTCTTCCTCTCTGTAAAAAATCAATAAAATATTTTTTTAAAAAAGTAATAAAGGGGATTACAATTCTGATCTGTGAGGATTAGACGTGACAATGTGTGCAAGCATTTTGCTTCTCTGTTCTCGCCTACAGGTACCCCCACAGAAGTGGACAGTGCCCTCCATGAGACATGACACTTGTTTTGGGCCGACCCCTAACTTATTCTTCAGTTCTGGCAAGTTCAGGGCCCTGGATGCTCATGTGCAACAATGGGCACAAAAGAAGAGGTGGCAATACTGGAGGAGCCTCCGGGAACCAGGGGCTCAATACCTGCTCTCTTGGCAGCACCCATGTTGGGATTCTCATGCCCCTTCTGAGACCAACTTTTGTAACACCTGTTTTTCAAGCACCCGTATGCTCCCTCAGGACAGTTCTTGGGGATTGTGGCAGGTACCCTGGTGTCTCAGTGATGAGCACCCTCACCTGATTCGCAAGCCACCGCTCCCTGACCTGGACATGTATCATCAGAGGATGGAGCAACCGCTGGTCCACCCCCAGAAAGAGTTAGT